CTCCTTATCTTAGCCTGATTCACAACGGTAAGCTTGTAATAATTTGAGTGGATCGGGTCGTTTGACTTTGCGTCATTACGTCACGTCTGTATATATAAAGAAGGAGTCCCGGTGACTGAAATTAGATTATCTTCCAGTTTTAAATGTGCATGTGATCACAGATATGTGGGATTACACTGTACTTATAAAATATTTGTATTCCAAAGAAAATTGTTTAAATTTTTTTTTTCAATTCAATTGTTTTTGAGGTTAAACGAACAATTTCTTTCGATGGCATTCGAATGGTATGACAATTAGAGACTGTGCAGAATTTGAAATCTACATATAACGCTAATACACACTAAATACACTGTCACATAATGTTGATGTTGTTAACATTAACAATTTGAGAACAGAGTATAACAATAATAATAATCTGCACGGTTTGACGTGATCTGAAGTAGCTTTGCTATCCTTAGATTTAATCAGCATTAGTAGCGCGATTTATTGTGAAACCTTTTTTCAGTTGATCAGAACAAAACTGGCATACATGTTACGTACTTGTTCAGATGACATTTTCGGGTGAAACTTCTTATTATAAAGAAGATAATTCCGCAAATAACTGCAAACACACACACACTCACACACACACACACACACACACACTCACAGAAGCTCTCTGAACAGATTCAGCTTGTTAATGGCATATATAGTTCAGATTCTGCAGTACAAGAGGTTTTGGGGAATGTTAGCTTAAAAACATGAATACATGTCTCTGTGCTCGATTCATCAGTGTGCATGTTATTCTGAAGAAAAACAAATGTTTGTTTTCATAATTGTTCATCAAAATTATTAATTTTCTCCACCTCTGAAATTATTTTTCCACTGACACAACAAAGTCCATGTGGGTGAGAAAAATTATTATAAAGCAAAAATTTCGTAGCTTCCTTTTGACCGACCAATCAGTGTTGGATAAAATTAAGCCCCGCCCATTATTTCCATCTGAATTTTCTCTCTTTATTGAAAATACTTTTCTGAAATTACTTAACTTTTTTATACATTTCTGTTGCTGAGATAGTTCACCTAAAAAAAAATATAAACAAAATTGTCTACACAATGAAAGTCAATGGGGTCCAATGATGTTTGGTTTTCAAAATATGTTCTTTTGTGTTCTTCAGACTGAAAAAGTCAATGATATGAGTAAATGATGAATTGGCTTGCTTATCCCTAACCTGATGTGCTTTTCAGGTTACTAGCTAGTTTAAGTAACTTTAACTGTCTTTCTCAGCATGTTTTCCCTCAAACTGTTTCTCCTCCATGACAGTAGTTGATCTGTTTTGCAATTCAAGTTCACCATTAGGGTCTACAGACTCATAAAACACAAGTTCCCATCTCACTGTGTACAGCTGGCAGCTTCATATATAAAACCCGCTATTAGTCAGACAGCAGCAGGACTGCTAACAGAGGAAGAGCTTGACTGTTAGAGCATGAACTCCGACAGAGAAACACACACACATCTGAGGAATGGACGACTGATCGCATGTGTGTGTGTGTTTACTAGTATTACTATCCTTGTGGGGACATTTGGTCCCCATAACGTGATAAATACCAGGTACACACACACTCACACACACACACACACACACACATGCACACGCTGGCCCTTTGTTCACAAAATAGGAAGAAATCCGTAAAACAAAGAAGCAAGGTTATGTAAAGCAGGAGAGGGGAAATCAGGCGGAATGATGAGCTGTTTGCAGAGCAGCCAAAACCACATTCATCATCGCATGTGTGTGTGTGTGTGTGTGTGTGTGTGTGTGTGTGTGTGTGTGTGTGCTGATGCTGATGCAGTTGGATCTGTTTATACATCCATCAGTGAATGTTGAGTGTGTTTGTGTAGTTAGACGTGTGTTTGCACATCAGTTGTGCATGATTTACTCTCAGGAAACTGTGCCGTTTGTGTTCCCTATGCATGGATGGATAGAACAATACTGTAGATAGATGAATGGATAGATGGAACGATGGATGAGGGACAGATGGATGGATTGATGATAGAATGATGGAGGGATGGATGGATGGATGGATGGACGATAGAATGATGGAGGGATGGATGATAGAACGATGGAGGGATGGA